TTTTCAGGTATGAGAGCCTTCTTGAGGATTTCTTGTAGTGGAGGACTTCTGGTTACAAATTCCTTTAACTTTTGTTTGTCTGGAAAAGATTTAATTTCTCCCTCATATCTGAAGGATATTCTTGCTGGATAGAGTATTCTTGGCTGAAGATTTTTATCTTTTAAAGCTTTGAATATGTCACTCCATTCTCTCCTAGCTTGTAAGGTTTCTGCTGAGAAATCCCCTGAAAGTCTGATAGGGGCTCCCTTGTAGGTAATTCTCTTATTTCATGCTGCCCTGAGTATTATTTCTTTGTCATTCCTTTTTGCCAATTTTACTACTATATGCCTTGCAGTAGGTCTTTTTACATTGACAAATCTAGGAGATCTGAAAGCTTCCTCTACACACATTTCTCCCTCAATCCCTAGATTTGGGAAGTTCTCTTCTATAATTTCATTAAGCACACTTTCTGCTCCATTTTCCTTTTCTACGTTCTCAGGAATTCCTATGATCCTTAAATTCTTTCTCCTCATTGAATCTGCTATCTCTCTGATACTTTCCTCATTCCTTTTAATCCTTAGTTCTCTTTCTTCCTCTGTCTGGAGCCATTCAGCCTGTCTATCTTCAATTATGCTAATTTGCTCTTCTATGGAGTCTACCCCAGCATTCAGGGAATCCGTATTCTGTTTTATCTGGTCCATTGTGTTTTTCATCTCTAGTAATTCTGTTTGATTCTTCTTTATAATTTCAATCTCTTGTGAAGTAACTCCAGAACTCAGCTTGTTTCTCTATCTTTCTCTCTACCTCATTGAGTTTTTTGATTATAGCTGCTCTGAACTCATTTTCATTTAGTTTACCTAATTCCAAGTCCTCAGGACTTAATTCTATGTTTTTATTGTTTTCCTTCTGGTCTGGGGCTTTTATAAATTGCTGGATGGTAGAGGAGCGGTTTTTTTGCATGGTGGTAGAATTCGGTTGCAGTTACCGCCTGTCGCCACTAGATGGGGGTCGAGAGCCGCGTGTTCTGAGCTCTCCGCCTTTGGGCAAGATGTCGGCACCCAGTGCGCTCTGCAGGGGCGGGGGCGGTTTCTCTCGCGCACCGATCTGGATTAGATCAGTTCTGTTCTCTGGTCTCCCGCCCTGTGTTTATGGGGTCCCCCAGCAGGGAAGCTTTCCCCCGTCAGCGGGTTTCCACTGTACTAGCGGCGGGAGTCCTAGACGATCTCCTGGTCGCGGGGCCCCTCCCCCGCTCCTTCCTGGACCCGCATGGCGATCCCGGTTTCTAGGGGATGGAGCGATGTTCCCTCTTACCCCGTTCCAGCTCCTCCGAGGCGGGCAGTAGGGGCTCTGTCTTCTGTCTTTTGATACTGTAGGTCTCTGAGTCCTGGCATTAGGTTCATTAGCTGAAATTCAGGGCTTCTTTTTTTTTTTTTTTTTCAGTCCTTTGTTGTACTTTGGAGGGGAGAGAGTCCCGGGTCAGCTCACCCCGCCCTTTTGCTCCGCCTAGCGTTCAATTTCTTAACAAAATCATTAATGTGGTATACACCTGAATTATTTTTAAACATAAGAATATGGCTTTGTTTTCCTCAGGGTAGGAGGTGCTATACATTTTTATCCTTTGGATGAATGGGGCTCTCACAACATAATCATATGATCGCAAAGGACTTAGTTACTCTCACTCCCTTAGTGATACCATCTAGTCTCATTGCTTCAATGCCAGTGTCCTCCAAATGTCCCTCTGCACTTCAGACCTTTTTTAGAGTCAGATATCCAACTTCACACTTGACATCCCCACTGGAGGTCTAAAGAACTCAAATTTGTCATATCCAAAATTGGACTCTTTTTTTAAGCTTCTCAATTGCCTTTATTTTTTCCAGCTTTATTGAGGTATAATTGACAAAATAATTATAAGAATTTAGAGAGTACAATGTGATGATTTGATATATGCATACATTGTGAAAGAATTTCCCCTCACTGGGTTAATTCACACATCTATCGCCTCATATATTTACCATTTTTTTTGGTGAGGACATTTAAGGTCTACTCTCTTAGTAAATTTCCATCCAAAATGGAACTCTTGCTTGTCTCCTCAGACTGGTTCCACCTACATTCTTCCCATCTCTGTTGATGGTAACTCTATTTTGTCCAGTGGCTTGGGGCCACTGTAGTCATTCTTGACTTGTCTCTTTTCACACACCTGAATTCAGTCCAGCAGGCACTCCTGTTGTCTGTATTTTCAAAATGTATCTAAAATCTGCGTCTTAGCACCAACTCCTGCTGACACCCTGGTCTAAGTCCCATTACCTTGTCCTGGGTGATCTCTCTAACCTCTCTGTCTCTGCTTCCCTCATGTCCTCCTACAGTCTATTCTCAACACAGCAGCCACAAGCCAATTTGCAGCCATCCTTCTGCAGTGTTTTCCTATTTCACTCAGAACACTCAAAATCCTGATATGGCTTTCCAGTTACTACAGCTGTCTAACAAATCATCCCCGAACTTAATGACTTACCACCATTTATTATGTGCAAAAATTCTGTGGGCCAGGAGTTGAGACAGGGAGCAGTGGGGATAGCTTGTCTCTGTTCCATGCTGTCTGGGATACTCAGATTGCAAGGCCCAAATCATCAGAAAGCTCACTCACTCACATATCTGATGGTTGAGGTGGGCTGTAGGCTGAGACCTTTGCCCAGGCCATCATCCAGAACACCTACAGACAGTCCCTCCATGTGGCTTGGGTTTCCTCACAACATGGTGGCTGGATTCCCAGGAGAAAGAGCCAGGCAGAACTGGACGCTAGCCTCACAAGTTATATAGTATCCCTCCTGTCATACTCAGTTGGTTGAAACAGTCATAGCTTGTGCAGATTCAAGGGGAGGGAAATAGATTTCACCACTTGATGGAGAGTGGCCAAGTTCTGGAAGAGTGTGTGGGACCAGAGATATCAGCATGGCACGTTTTGGGAATATAATCTGCCACAGTGGCGTACATGATTGGACCTGTGCTATTTCTCTGCCTTCATCTCTTCTCCCCAGAGAACGTTCTTCAGCCACATGTTGCTGGAGCACTCAGGCATGCTCCTGCCCTAGGGCCTTTAGACTGGTTGGTCCATCTGCCTGCTCTGCTCTTCCCAGCGTGCCTGCTCACCCTCCCCCTAACCTCTCCATGCTTTTACTTAGATGTCACTTCTCCATGATGCCTACAGTGACCACTCTGCAGCCCCATCCTGATCTCCTTCTCTTGTTTTATAGTACTTTCCAGTTTCTAGTAGTCTATGGAACTTTTAGGTTTATTATTTATTATCTGCCCCTACCAGAATTAAGCACTACATATGCAGGAATCTTTATCTCTTCTGTTCACTGATTTATCTCAAGGGCTAAGAACAGTGTGTGGCACATAAATATGTATAAGATGGGAAACAGAGCATTTCTGGGTGGGACATTCTGAATTTGCAGTACTTGCTCCAGATAAACCAGTGAGCAGATCTCTGCTTTATGGAACCATATCACCATGACTAAGTCCCCATGCCAGCACAGTACCTGCCACATAGTAGATGCTGAAAAATAAATATTTAACTAGTTTATTTGGAGAAAAAAACTTAGCACCACTTCATTTGTAGGTTAGGCCAGAATGAGTCAACAAAACAGACAAACTTAAACAGTTCCTTTCATTGTGTAAATTTCTTTTTTTATCTGTTATAAATTAATGAACCAGAACTTTTGTTTGAATTTCTGTCTCAATATTTGGTTTCTTTATGAGGAATTTCAAGGTACTTTTTCCGGTTCCAAATACTGCCCCTTCTCCCTCACCCCAACACACATGTGTTGACAAATGTAGGGTCCTAAGAGTCTCTGGGGCAGAGAGTCAGGCAGCATGGCTTCTGTTTTCCAGGTATGCCAACTTGAGAGTGTTAATGTGTCCTTCGGCATAAATTACCTTTGAGAACAAGGGTTGGAATAAAAATAATGATAAATGCAACAATAACATTAATAATAGTGATGATAGAAATGGCAACGACATCGATCACTACAACTGCCATTGGATGGAAACTTCTCTGCTGCTGTCTGCTCTTCTGGGCACTTCCTGTTCACATCTCCATCATTGATGACCTTGAGAGGAAGGCACTTTCATTCCTCAGAGGAGGAAGCAGAGGGTATCAGAGCTTGCCCCAAATGCACCAAATCTTTTTTTTGTTAGTAAAGTACCTCTTTGATCCATTGAACCATAAAATCATCTACAGTCATGTGCTGCGTAATGATGTTGCGGTTAACAATGGAATACATCTATGACAGCGGAACCATGAGATTAGTACCATAGAGCCTAAGTGTGTAGTAGGCTATACCATGTAGGTTTGTGTAAGTACACTCCATGATGTTCACACAATGACAAAATTGCCTAACCACACCTTTCTCAGAGTGTATCCTCGTTGTTAAGTGATGCGTGACTGTGCCATACCCCTTCACCATTTGGTGATTATGAAGCACTGAGTTTATCTCTACTGAGTAGCTGATGTCACAGCTTTGGAAGCTGAGCAATTGATTTCCACTTACTGGCAGGATCATGTTTCCATTTATTTTTCAATTAAAGGGTGTGCAATCCCGTACTACCACTGGTGAGGTTCCTCTGGTTCATCCATAGGCCAGGAGTTGTTCCTGTCTCTGGTTCTCTTTCCCATACTCTACAGCCAAGCTCTTGGCTACCAGGGGGAAAAGGCGAGAGGCACAGAGCACAACAGGGCCCATGCTGGACACCAAATGAGCTGCCTTTGAGAGCTCAGCACAGGGGTAGCATAGTGCCCTGTTCCTGGGCTCTGACCCCTGCAGAGACACTGGAGGCCTCAGACCCTTCCAAAGCATCGTTCCAGGCAGCCGCTCTAAATGCATTCAAGTGTTTTCCAAACACACGATGTTATCATTATTAGTGGCTTGACCGCAATTCTTTGATTGTTGGCTTCTAGTTGAGCAGTTCTGGGTTTTGTTCATTCTTTGGCTACGATTGCATCAACTTGGGTTTTTGCTTTGCAGAAACAAGTGTGAAGGAGAATACTGTGAAGTACATGGAAGTGCTTGAAAATAAACTGCGCAGGTAAGGATGACAGTTTTTCCTTACAGACACCATGTCGCATTGGGATTTTTATTATAACAGGATTTAGCAAAAGGAAAAAAAAGGCTAGTTAATTTCTGTAATAAATTAACAAAGAAAAACACAAAAAGAAGTCCTTTGAATCCTGTAACAAAAGAAGCAGGTGCCGTACAAGCATCTCCTAACCCTTTTCTCCTGTTATAAAAGGTAAATAGATTAGGACGTTTAAAAGTGTCTGGGGAAGATTACAGGATAGTTTTTATTTTCCAGAAGAAGAAGAATCTTTGGTATGTTAAATTCAGAATTCATGCCTTGGTCCATTTTTCTTTTCTTTATAATGTCTGAAAGGGCCCTTATGGATTTTGACCAAGCTCATATATGTTTTAGAACAATATAAAAATGTACATCTTAGGTTCTGTTTTGAATCCCGAATCAAAACCAGCGTGAAAATTCCTGGTTATCTTTTCTTTGGTTTTTTTAACCCAATTAGGAATTCAGATTTGAAAACCATTTGGGATGCTGCAGTCAAGATATTTCTGGGTTTTGTGGATGTGTACTCATGAAAATAAACCCCAGCCACCAGGATCTGTTCCTAATTAAGGAAACAAGTACGAGAATGTAATATGTGCCTTCTTCCCTGGGAATCATTTAGCTTTATGAAGAAGTTTTGCTACTATTTTGGAAATTGTTAAATAGCTTTAAATAAGCTATGCCTTAAACCTTTGTCTGCTAAGATAATGCCATCGGCTAAAATACTGCTTTTTCCCTTAAGAGATCTTAAGAGAGGCTGCCTTGCTGAATTCTACTCTGCAGAGCAAGCAAGGTACTGCAGGATTTATTCTAGTGCTTGGAAAGTAAGTTCTTCCAACCACTGACTGATATTTCCCTGCTTCCCCGTGCCCCTGACTTGGGGAGGAACTATGACGAAGGTGGTCAGTGGAGAGTGTGGGGTAAGGAGCACATGCAGGTTAGAGGCATCCTCTAAGGAAATGCCTCTCCTTCTTAGAAAGGAGGATGCTTGTCTGGGTCAGGTGTGCTGCTCTGAGTCGGGCCTCCTCCTCTCCCATGTGATCTGAGGCAGGTTTTAGCATATCCCTCTTGATCTTAACTCTGGCAACCATTTTTTAGCCATAAGCGCCACGCACATCATACGTTCCTATAGGGTATTAGACAGCAAGTTGGAGTTGCAAGAGCACGGGTATTGATAGACAGATGCCCACGTGAATTGCAGCTCTACCTCTTATCAACTACCTAACATCAGGTAAATGTTCACCTTTAGTTTCTTTAGTTATAAAATGGAAAGGAGGGTACCTCCCTTCCGGGGTCACTGTGTGGATTTTATTAAACACTGTACGTAAAACACTCACATCGTTGGCAGTCAGCAAATGTTAGTTACTTTCATCCTGCTTCTGATCTTCACTCTCCTTATCATCAGACTGATGGAACAGTCATGCCCAGGACTCATCCTTTTCCCTCCAAGCCAGCTCTTCCTGCTGTGTATCCAGCCCAATGAATTGCCCATCACCCACCTGGTCAGGCTCTCCCGCTGGCTGCATGTGTGGAACCACGGACTCATGCTCCCTCCCCTTTCCCTCATCTCCCACTTAGATTCAGTGACTGAGTCCTGCCAATTCTGTGTCTTTACTATCCTCCAGCCTGCCTCCTTTCACCATGCTAGTGTGGGTCTGTCTTCTCTCACTGAATGACTATAATAGCTGCTTTTTGTGTTTTCCTGTCTCCAGTTTTGCCCTTCACTCCATTCTCCAGGTGGTCTTAATGAGCAACTTCCAATAAAATCTGGTCATTGCATGTCCCCATCAGTCTAAAGATAAAGCCTTAAGATCTTACCATGGCTCTTGGCCTTCTTCCATGTGGCCTCTGTGTATACTTGAGCATCATCCATCACCACATTGTCGCCACCCTTCTCCAGTCTTACTGATTCTCTTATTTTTCCTAATGCTACTGTGTCTTGTTCTGGAGAGAAACTAATTTAGGAGGGGAAATGGTCAAGGGATATTATTCAGGAAAGAATTAGGTTGAACCATGTGAAAATACTGATGTTAGACCATTTTTGATGAAGGAAAATGGCACTTTCACATGGTTCAACCCAATACTTAGAGATTGGAAGTAATCTTCAGGAGGGGCAGATGGTGTGGCCTGAGACTGGCCAGTCTCCTTCCTTGTGCACACTGGGTTATGCCTGGGCTGCCCGCTCTCACCTCTCCCTTTGCATGTGCTCCAATGGGCCCTCCCAGCGCCCACCAGCCCTTCATTTGTCTAAGCCTTTTTCATCCTTCAAGTTTTAGGTGTCTCCTCTTTAAAGCCTTCCATGAGTCCCCAAGACTGAGTAATGTGCTCGCACTGAATTATTCTTCTCACTTTCAAAGTGCTTAATATCAGGTATTGAAGGTTATGTCTGTCTTGTTCAGAATGTATCCTCAGTGATTTGACAGTGCTGAGCAGCATAGGGGTGCCCCAAAAATATTTGTTGAATGAATGATTGAATAAATGAATGAATGAATGCAACTAATTTATAGACACCGCCGTCTCATCTTGCATCACCTTCTGTCTCTCTTCCTCCTTTCCAGCTATGCAGATACATGACCCACACATATTCCTTCCTTAAGATCCTTCAACAGTCTCAGATGACCAGAATGGTAGGTGGCCCATCCTACAGCCTACTTCCTGAAGGCTCTTTCCATTGCTGTTTCAAGCTGCTAAGGGGCCTGGCTCAGATTTGTTTGAACTGGTAGAGTAGAAACAATGGAATGGAGAGGAGAAAAAGCAGCTGGGGGTCTGTAGCCCCGCTGGCAGTAGGGAGAGTAGCAGACAGGCCGAGAACTGGTACACTTGAGGGGCACACAGGTAGTTTTATTGCTGCCTCAGAGCAGGGGGCCAGACTGGATGCCGGTGGAAATTGTGGTAAAGGTCAGGCTCTCCCTCCTGCGACAGGATTCCTCCTCCCCGCCAGGCCTGAGGAGTGATGGTTGGATTATCCCATTATAGTCACGGTTCTTTCCAAGAGAATCAACATCTTAAAACAAAAACATAATTTTTAGCACCTGGTATGATTTGCATCTTAGTGGCCGCCCAATTAATATTGCAAGATATTGACTAAAGCTAGGGGATAGATGCAAATGAAATCTTTGTTATTTATTCTGATTGTCTGTAGCATCTCTTGGTCTTACAGGGGTTTAGAAAGAAAATAGCTGAGAATTGAATAGATTGCCCATTGCCCATTAGAATGTTGTAGAGGACACACGTTGTAATTCAAGAAACAACAACATTTGGACGTAGCCAGTTGTGATTTTGGAGACAAATGTAAATGGCAACAATATCTGTGTTACTATCTCAATGTACACTGAAACCTGGAGACCCAAATACTGAGACACACTGGGGTAGGCTCAACGTCCCACTCTCTATCAAGAAAGTCAAAAGAATTGGAAAGTTAGGAAATATCTGATGCTGTCAGCAGTTCAAAGGGATATACTGCATTGGACAAAATAAAAAGTGGTCAGATATCAAATGGAGGCTTTTAGTATATATTTAAACTCTGTTCCCACTGCTACTACCTTTGACTTGGCTCGTTAAATAATCTAACAGCCTCGCTCCCTCTGGCTTCACACCACTTCAGTCTATTCTCCCACAGCCAGAGCGACTTTATTACTGTCATTTTTATAATCCTTTTAGGCTTCCTTTGCATCCAGCATAACATCCACAGTCCTTATCATCCCCCAGGGGCTCTCCACGAGGTGTCTCCAGCCTACTGCTCCAACCTCATTGCTGTAATCTCACCTGCAGCCAGTGCCCAATGCTCCAAACTGGCTGGATGCTTTCGGTTCCCCCAGTTCACCTCCTGCACAGCCGAGTAGCACCTTTGAGGAGCCCTGTCCCCAGCCAGCCCCTGAGGGTGGGTGAGTGCACACTCACCCTCACCACTCAGCACTATATTCCTTCTCTGTAGAGCCTTTCCGGCTTCCTCCTGCTTCCTTCTTGGTACCACGGTGGGAGCCACTTACAACCATTTGTTGCAATGACTTCAGTCTGATTCTATTAGACTGTGAGCTCCTTGAGCAGAGGTTCCAGACCTTACTTGCTTTGTATTCCAAGGGGCTTCACGCTGTTTGGCATGTGGTAAACATTCAATAAAATGGTATTGAATGCAAGAATGCTGGATAAGTAGCAATTGCATCTTGAAATTTCATCCTTAGCTATTAGATTCAAAAAGTCAAGACAGCCTAAGAAGATGTAACGCACCGGAACTCCATTTGTCTTGCCATCAAATCTTAGTGGTACATAAAAGAATAGAAAAAAATCTGCTCTAAAAAGCTTTTCACACTTATTCTTACTCCTTCAGGTTTATTGCATGATATTTTGGCCTAGCTCATTTTTTTCTTACGGCCGAAACTTGCTTTCATTTCCATTTTCTCCCCGTTATTATTCTCTGTTAGCTATCTTTCTCAAAGAGTCTAAAGAAGTATTCGAAATCTTGATGGCTTTTAGTATTTGACTACATTTGTTATTGATCACGTTCTGTCTTCTATCTCTAACCATTGTACAGGGGAAATTCGTTATTGTCCAACGGCAAACTCATGTCTCTGGCTCGTGTGCACCAAGCCGTTCACCCTAAGGCTATGAGTAGTGGCTCCACTTAAACTCGTGGAATGTCTTGTATGCATGGCTAATAGGAAAATTTCTCTTCTTTCTAGCATCTCTCAGTCTATCTCTACTTTTTTTTTTCCTGAAGTTGAATGTAAAACTTTTCTGCAAACTATAGGTGCAGTTGAATGGATTATAGGTTGTTTTTGTTTCCTTGTGCTCTTCTCAAGTGTTTTTTTTATTTTTGAGTGGGCATCATACTTTTATAATCAGAAAAGAAAACAGAAAAATCATTAAAATCTGTTTTGAATATGGAAAGTAGTTAGATAACTTCTTAGAGGCCCTGCTCAGCTTTAGACGGAACTATCAAGAACTCATTGGTTTTATCTGAAAATTACTTTAAA